AAGCAGATATGAATTACCGGAGGGTTAACCACTACTCCTGAAAAGAATGAAGTTATCTACAAAAGAGGGGGAAGGAAACTTACCGTAACCGAGGCCATCAGAACCTTGGAGCAGAGGACATCGTCGGCCTGACGGGAGAGCACGGACTTATCGGTCGGAGGGGTGGCACCCCTCAAGAACTCCTTCGGGTTCAGGGTCCCGTGCATGATAGAAGTCCCCTTCGTAATGGAGAATTGGACTTTGTCCAGGGGCCATTTCAGATCAGTTGCTTGACCCGAAGGCTTGGGAGGAGAAGATTCTTCTACGACCACAACGGGGGCTTCCTTCGACTCCGGGGCCCCCTTCTTCTTCTTCTTCTTCTTCTTCCCCTCCGGTTGTGCCGGGTCCTTCCCAAGCCTTTTTCTCTTCAGCTCCAGACCGGGGGAGCCCCCGACGGCGGCCTCCGGTACGGGACCCGCCTCTTTGGCCTCTTCGGCCGCTCCCGCCTTGGGGAAGATCTCATCGACCGCCCTCTGCTGTGCGGGGGCCTCCTTCTTCTGCTCCTCCCGGGCAAGTTGTCGCTTCAGCTTAACCAGGTTCCGAGCGTCCATGTCTGGTCCTGAAACACAAGAAGGCACACAAGGGTTAGTTCACTATTACAGCAAAGCAAAAAATGTAAAGGGGGAAGAAAATTTTCTAAGTATGAGAAATGAAGCCTTCGGCATTACAACAACCTTCAGCACTCTCATATACGCGGTCAATCAGGGGGTAGCCTTCCTCCTTCTCCCCCATCAGCCGGGTACCGACGGAAGCCGAGCTTGTACAACTCACTGGAGAGCGTTGCGCCTTTGATGGACACATGTTTATCGGAACCCTCCGGCTTCTTGGACAACACCCGTCCATTCTTCTCGAGGGCATACCCTTCTGCCTTCGAGTGCCGCCGAAACCTGTCACCAAGCGGAGCGGAGAAGGGGTTCTCGGCCAACCGGATATAGCAAAACTTGTCTTTCCACCCCTTGTGAGACGAAGGCGCCTCATCAAAGATCCTGAACTTCGGGAGCTTCTGCAGATTACCATAGCCCCCGGCGTTCTAATGCCCCCCCGGCATAAGTTGAATGACAGGAAGAATTGCTCCAGAGTAGGGGGGACCTTTCGGCTTAGGCACAGTGACAGGAACCCTGCCAGATATGAGTGACTGTTCAGGGTCAACTGGCAGGGGGCTAGCTTTACAAAGCGGAGGTACTCCAACACAAAAGGATGAAGGGGAAACCTGAGACCCAGCTCCACCGAAAGCAGATGCACGACAAAGCAGCCGTCGGGGGCACGAAGGAGCACGTCATCCGGCTTTGGCTCTACCACTTGCGTCGAAGGCCCTACCAAAAATTGCACCGCCATCATTTCCCCTCGGGTAGCTTTATTCTTGACCTCCAAGGCGGCCGTATTCAGGAAAGAATAGCCCTCGGGGAGTCCCAGTGGCTGGCCAGCGTCGACGGCAGCTTGCTTCTTCTTCGGAGCCACCCTCGCCTTCTTTCTCTTCTGTCCTGGGGCCACACTGAGGGGTACAGCGTCTATAGGCCGGGAGCTCCCACCTTCAGTACCACACTGAGGGGGAGGGATAGCTACAGTCACCTTCAGACCCTCCTTCTGGGCCTCGTCCTCGGCCACTTGACAGGCGATGGCAAGCTCCTCATCCGCGTTCACCTGCTCGAAGTCTTCGGCCTCGAGCTCAAGTTGAAGGTCACTCTGTACTGCCTCGGCTACGGCCCTATCATCAATGGCCGAGAGCTGCTCGCTCGAGGATTCCACGTCAGACGGCACTTCAACGTTCACTGAAGCCTCCCCGGAGATGTCTTGGGAATCACTAGCTGATGACATCTTTCTAAAAGGCGAGGGGTCGGGAAACTCGTACGAAGGGGGGGGTTCCTGAAGGGTCCTAAAGACTAACCCTAAGGACAAAAGAAATACTCAAATGGAGCTAAGGGCGGAAGGAGAACTGACCTCTGAAAGCTGAGTTTTTGACCGAAAGCTTGAGTTTCTCTCTCTAGAATTTTTTGCAGAGCTTCGCTACGGATGTGGATGCGTAAAGGAGGAATGGCCCTGGCTTGGGGTATTTATAGGCTCCCAGATCCGGGCTTGGGCCGTGATCCGGGCTCCCAGCAGCCAAAGCCATCATTACGCACCGTCGTTTCACCCAACCGGTGACGCCGCCCACGAACAGCCAGCCATCACACGCCACGTGTGCCACCCCCCCAACGGCTATATCCTGTCGTTACATATTCCAACGGCTATATTTCCAACGGCTATATTCTGGAAGCCCCCGGGTTTTCCACTTCACTCCTCTTCGTCAAGGAGAGCCTCCGGGTACACTTACCCAGAGACGCCCCCGGGTTGTGCCCCACACAGCACATAACAAATGCCTTCGGGATCACTCCTTCAGAAACCCAAGGCTTCATATCAGGGCACCCCTCGGGAATTCCCCCTCAGCACTGCAAAACCGGGTAGCCCCCGGGGAGTTGCCTTCATTGACGGATAACCCGTCGCACACAGGTAATGGGAGCCCTCGGGTATCTTCATCACCAACTAATCAACAAACAGTGGACCCCCCGGTAACAACCCCCTGCTGCCCTCATCCAGCAGGCCCTCGATCCCCATGACATCAACAGCAAGCCTTCGGCTAATCAACACATGAGCCCTCAGAACAAGGAAGAGCCTTCGGCATTACCGTTGTTCTCCATTTTTGACCAAGGTTCCACATTTTCGATTCATCATTGGGGGAATTCGGTGCACTCTTTTTCCCTCATTAGGATTTTTCCCCCAGGGTTTTTCCTAATGAGGTTTTTAACGAGGCATCCCCCCAAAATGAAACGAAAAACGTCAGCCTTCGGCCCACAACAGCAACGCAACTACTCTACTCCTTTTCACCACTTTACAAGTGCCTCAAGGAGTGGAGGACTGGAGGACCTCCTCGGGAAAATCATTAAATTACAAAATTAGTGAAATTCCAACAAACGACAAGGCAAGCCCTCAAGTCCCGACATGTGGGTAACTGAGGGACTGCCTTCGGCAGGGACATAAAAGCAACAACTCCTCACCAACTTCAGAGATCACGACGGGACAACATCAAAGGGCAAGCACAAATTACTCCTTTTCCCTCAAGTACCTTTCGGCAAAAGGAGTGAGGGACTCCTGATGGAGTATATGGCCCGGGAACCCCCGGCCCACAGACTCCTACTACACCAATGAAGGCCCAACAGGCCCAGGAGGCCCAACAGGCCCAAATCACAGCGCCCAGAGTACCAAGCAGCCCGCACTACGCGCCAGGAGTGCCTTCGGCCCCCTGGCCGAAGGCTCTAAACTCTCACAGAACGGGTTTCTCAAGCAAATTAAGAAACTGGGAGAAAACGGCGAAAACAGTAGCCCTCGGCACTGTGAGCCCTCGGCACCAGGGTGCCATCGGTTGGAGGAGCCCTCGGCTACTGCTCTATAGCCGAAGGCATCTCACTCGACAAGATATCCGCCTCACATGCGTACAGATCGTCGTACCCTGCACAGACGTCCCGTCCAACAGCCGCATTAAATGTGGCCACATGCGGCTGCCAGCGCCAACCAGTTGAGGTGACCCCTCGGCCAATGAGCGCTTGACACGTGTCCCTGTCCGGCATTTATTGCTACTATAAATAGCACCCCATTTCCCCATTTGTAACCACGCTGAAAACGGCATTCATACTGAATACACTCTCTCTCTACATTTACTTACTTGCTCTGACTTCTCTCTAAGTTATTCCCCGTAATAACCCTTCGGATATATACCCCCGGGTAGACTATCCATCAATAAACTACTTGCGTATTGTGAATACATATTTATATAATTATATATCTTCCCCATATTTATTTATTACGGAGTATATAGAATTATAGAAGTTTGGCTTTGGTTGAAGGTCTTAGAATTTGAGGTTCGGTCCGCCTCGGTTGAACTTTATTTTTAAAAAGTAAAGGTTACAAGAGCATCTCCGATGGGTGGACTGCATTGCTGCTGACGTGGCAATGAAATGGAATGAGTTTATTTAGTATTTACAATAAATGAAAGAGTCTATCCCAATTGATCTTCCATGCTAAACAAAAAAATGCTCCGTATGGAAACTCAAATAGGAAAGAGAAAGCCAACCAGCACTATGGAGGTGAGACCGAGAATCTACATATGCACCTCGTGCAAGACCCCATGTCTATTTTATAATTGCCAAGTCAGCTTGACTAGGCTCATATTTGTTTGCGTTGGAGAGTAAATTTTTAAATATATGGTCCATTGGCTGATGTGGAATGCATTTTTAGAGCAATCCGTCTCCACATTGGAGATGCCCTAAGAGAATCAGAATACAATAATGAAAAGGGCGGTTCATATAATTCAGGAGCACCTCCTGAGCCATTGTGAGGAATCTGTTGTTTGAAGTATTATGAGCATGTTCTTTATGAAGTGTAGATTATGTTCATAAAATTCCAGCTTAAAATTCAATCAGAAATTCAATTAAATAAGTTATAGAAAAGAACTGCACTTTTTACATACTCCCTTCGTCCTAATTTGTAAGATACTTTACGGTTTACGATGTTTGATCGAAGATAAAGCAAATTGATCCCTGTAATTTTCATATTTAGAAACTACATTAAAACAGTCACAAAACCTGCAAACAATATTTCAAATTTCATAAACTTTTGATATATAAAGTAAAAGATTAAGAGTTATTTACGTTGACCAAATGAATAGTAAATGTATCTTACAATTTGGGACTGAGGGAGTATATAATATGTGTTGTTCTTTTCAATAATTTTTTGACCGACTCCCAATTGAGTTTAAATTGAAACTTTGTAGATATAATTTACACACAAGGTGAATTATATCACAAAATTTCACAAAATTTCATAAAATAATTCTAGTGGAAATCACTTTAAATGGCAAAATTTGCACGGCATGGTACTCCAATAATGAATACCACACAAGGTGAACATAATTTTGGCCAACTTTTCAGGTAATTGCGGAAACAATCGGAACATACTTCCTGATATTTATTGGGTGTGGTTCAGTAGCCGTTGATAAGATATATGGATCACTAACATTTCCGGGTGTAAGTGTGGCATGGGGCATGATTATCATGGTCATGGTCTATTCCGTTGGTCATATTTCTGGTGCCCATTTTAACCCTGCAGTCACCATCACCTTTGCCCTATTCCGCCAATTCCCTTGGAAACAGGTCAGATCCATCTTAATTAATATTGTACGGAGTATGATTCTTTTTATGTTTAGTTGTGTACACATTTTCGACACACTTTCATCAAATTTGCTAACAGACCCAAAATCGGTGGTCGTCGCTCAACTAGTAGCAAAGGACTGTCACAGGGGTTAGGTCCCGGGTTTGAATCCCGACAACTGTGATGAGGAGTTACTATGCTAAAAATGCATAGGATCTCTGCAAGCACCGGGGGCAGAGTCTCACTCTCTATCTGTCAGATTAGGATTATAGTACAATTTACATCCTCTCAACGTGCCGTCCGGTCGGGGTTGAGGGACCCTCAGGGATGAGGTGTCATCCTTTTTTTGCTAATAGACAGAACATGTCTTAAAAAGAAAATTATCTGAAAATATGTAAACTTTCAACCCTGAGTAGAAAGTTAACCGTACATTATATTAGTTTGTTTAGTTAAGTACCAGTCTTTCACCCGTGCGTTGCACGGGTATGAAACTAACCAAAATATAACTATGGATGGTAAGTTATTCGTTAGTTAAAGTTGTATAAAAACTTATTAGATACCTCCAAAATATAATATAAACTACTTTTTTTTTTGAAAATATAAAATAATTTCTTTCTATGGTAGGCCAAAGGTTGGCATGGAATGGGTGATAGGGTATAGGTTGTTATTTGGAAGTAATCATTTTTTGTCTAACATAGAGGTGATAATGTAAATAGTTTTATTTTGAATCTTTTTAAAATTGCAAGTCAATACAACTTGGTATTACTTTTGATGTTATGAACCTTCAAAATCGGAAGTACCAATTTTGTCTTTAAAATTAATCTTATAAAGTACATCACGTTAATTTATTTTAATACACATTGTTGTGACTTTTAAATTAAGTATTAGAGTTTCTTAGTTTATGTGTAAGGAGTGTGCTTTTATAATGATGATCAAACACAAAAATGGTAAGCCATTAAAAAAAATCAAGGTTTTTATTTCAAACGAAGGTAGTGATAAGTATACTTGTGAGATATAACAATGAGATCTCACTCTATACAACTATTAAGCATCAGCCTAATTAGGTACTACTAACTATCTGGGTGGTATATACAAAGTTATATTAAAAAGGACTACATGGTTTAAACGTATGAAAGTAATAAATTTTCATTTAATACCTTTATGACATATAAAAGTAACCATGTTGAACTATTACATAGTATCTCAATCATAAGAAAAGAAGAGGTTAGATAGATTAAAGTCATAACTCCATATGGCACCATTCCAATTAGACTTGATTATGAATGAAATTATGGAACAATTGTTTGTAATAATTGTGATGGGTCTAGACTTCTATTCAAGTATTTGTTTGAAAATGCTTATAAAAATCACTAAAATAATCTTTTTTTAAACCAAAAGATCAACTATCATTGAGCAAATCGTGATTTAAAACATTCCAGATACAATTTGGAGGAATATTTATCCAACTATGGTTATCAGACAGAGAAATGGTCATTCGCACAAGCTCGTGAGCGGCACGATTCACAGATCGCCAAACAAAGTTTAATCAAAACAGTTCTAAAGCCTCACATCAACACTTTAATATCATCAACAATCAAACCCAAAGAAGACATATTTCCTCCCTTTTCAACCACCATTGCCAATTGGCATCTGACTCTAAGTTGACATAATCCCAATTGTGCTCCTTAAGCCACTTCAAAGTCTCTCGAATCGCGATGGCTTCAACCTCCTTAACCAAACAGGTACCCGACCAAGAATTTGCCCCTGCTGCTTCAAATCTGCCTGTAGCACCTCTCACCACCCACCCAAACCCCATATGCCCCCCAACTCCCAAAGCTGTGTCGACGTTGACTTACGACAGCCTGCTTCAAATTTCTTCTAGTCCTTTGCACCACCACATCTCGACTTCCTCCGAACTTCAGTGCACCGGTCATTTGCAACCCGCCAGCCTTGTAGGACAGCCCTCTCCAAAGTCACAATAAAATCTTCACCTCCTTCCCCCTGTTCTAGACAGCCCTATTATGATAGTACCAAATGCTCCAACACAACATTATCATTTCACAACAATGCTCCGAGGTCCTAGTTGTGAAGAAAAGTTCCAACCATTCCATAATTGACATTCCTTGGCCAACCACAGTTACCCAGCCCTTTAGTCTCTAAACTTCAGCTGTTCTCCTGCAATTAGAAAAAGCATGGGAAACAGACTCAAAATGCTCACCACATAGGACGCCTTTGCTCCACCCTCCTTTCTCTCAATTTGTTAGTAGGCAGATTCCCCATGCACAATTGCCAAAAAAATCTTAACCTTGGGAGGGATAGCTAACTTCCACATCTTTGTCCACCCTAGCCATCCTCCCAGGTCAACTTCCCCCACAAGGAGGTGATAACAACTCTGAACATAGAACTTTTCAAACGCTGCACTTTGCAGTGAGGCATTAAACGAGATGTTTTACACATCAATTTCCTAGTGCGCTTTTTTATTCTACATGTTAGTGCGATCCAATATGATGGGGTCCAATAAAGGACTTCACAATTTAGAAACATGAAGATATTTAGTGGTATAAATAAAAAGAATCGTATGATCGATCTATATCAGACTAAAACTACTACCACTTGACTGGATGAGAACAAAGATGAGTAAATAGAGAACAAAAGACATAAAAAGAAAGGAAAATCAATAATAAAAAGCAACATGGATAGAGACGAAAATTCAAACAAATGTATAGAGGCTGTAACTATTACAATTCGCTGATTACGTAATAAAGAATGATGGATTCAATTTACCCGAGGGCTGGTGAGAAAGGTAGCATTTGATCTGATATAGATTTGAATATCTCATTTTGTGAGTATAGAAGAAAATCAAAGTCAGAAAAATATAGGATTTCGAAGAACCCCTACATCCTAGCGGTTATCTACGGATGAAGTTGAGTTTTTTCTTGCTTCGAGTGTGAATTATAGATGTTTGGTCCAACTGTCAAAGTGTCCGAGACATCACTGATCGAATTTTTCTGGCGGTGAACTGGTGCAAGCGAGCTGGTACGGCAGAAGGGAGGTGATCTGATTTTGGCCGCGGTGAAGAAGAAGGAAGAAGAAGCGTCTTCCTACGTCGGTGGCCTTCAGTGTTTTTGTTGGTCCCGTTTGTAATGGGAGCAGTCTAGAGGGGGGGGGGGTGAATAGACTGTTCAGGAATTTAAACTTTTCTTTAAGTCACAACTGACTTATCAGAGATGGTCGAATTCTGGTGACAGAGAAGGTCAAGTTTTGATGGCAGAACTGGACCTGGCAGCGGATTAGATTCTGTCCGGGTAGCCTCAAACAACACTAAGGCAAATGCCTTTCTGATAACTCTTGAGGAAGATCTGCTGGACACAGAGTCCAACCTTTTGAGTTATGCAGTCAAGTTCTTAAGTGCAGAAATGAAATAAGTAAAGTAAGTGACACCGGGGATTTTTATAGTGGTTCAAGGAACAACTTGTTCCTCTAGTCCACTGTTCCACTAAGCTTGCAAAAACAACAGTTTACAATGCCTTAGTCCCTAGAACTTAAGAAGCTCTCCACGTCTCCTTCAAGCCTAGTTGCCACCCGGGATGCAGTCCTGCTTCCTGATGGCTGGTCTCGTTTCACTGAGTCTCTTGGAAGTATCACCACTTCACTTACTCCAGTTAGTTTGAGACGCCCCTTCTTTTTCAAGAAGTGTTTGAATCAAAATCAAATTTCTCCAACGTTGTTTCTTTACAAAAGATGTGTAGATGAAGTTTTCGAGGTGTTGAAGAACTGAGGAACTTTGCAACTTGCTAGTTGGATGAGAGATAAGAAGGTATATCTTCCAACTTGAGCTTTTCTTGTTGAGGTAAGTGAGTCTTTGATCTCAAGAAAGCTTGGAGGTATTTGGTTCAGAGTAGAATAATCTGAGCAAGTTCGTTGGCAAAATGTTATAGCAAAGTTATCCTAGTAGTTCTTCAGAGTGTATCTTATATACTGGGAGCAGTCTTCCCGTTGGAGTGTAGAAGACAACTTCATTAAATGCTTGTACTGTTGACTTGACCGATTGGACCTTCGACTTGCTATTTTGGGGGCGCGAAGATACTCACATGGTCAATCATCAGCTTTAAATATATCTTTGTACGTACAACATTAATTGAGCATTTAATGCGTGTACAGTACCATGTTCCCGTCGAAAGGTTCCTAGCCGTTAGGGGATTTCCCGTTAGTTTAACGACCGTTGGTAAGTGCCTTCGAGTTCTGCAAGGTAAGAGCTTGTCTGATGAGGTTTTCTGATCAGAACTCTGATGGCAGCTTCTGATGCCAACTCTGGTATCCAACTCTGATGGCTTCTCTGGAGAGCAACTCTGGGAGCAACTCTGGTAGAAGTTCTGATAAGGAAGACCAAGAGGGTTTCTGGCATGTCGCCTATTCTAGTACATACAAAGACAAATTCTAATACAAAATTTCTATAGGGGTACTTTCAAATTCTAATCAACATAGCATCATCAAAATCTAATTACATTTATTCCTTACAATTTCCCCCTTTTTGATGATTCCAAAACCCTTTAACTATTTCCAGAGAAGTGCCCTTCACCATAAAAGAATAAAGTTAAAAACTTTCATTAAAAACTTGGTGGGCAACTTAGCATAGGAAAATAGTAAGAGTACAGTACAATCAAATAGCAAAAAGAGGACATAAAGTAACAAAGCAAACACAAGGAAGTCACAGAAGGAGGAAATAACAGATAATTTAGGATGCCATGCAAACTAGAGGCAGAGATGGTATTTTATTATTAGATGATTAAGTACATAAACAGAGATGAATAAAATTAAGATTCATCTTCATCTACCTGAGGTCCTGCTTTGTCAATCCTTTCAAGCTCTGCATTGACCTTTGTTCTGATGGAGGCTAAGTCCCTCGGATTCTGATAGTCTGCCCAGTGAGGTGCAAGTTTGCAATCTAGGTAGTTTCTGATTGCTTCTGATATGTTCTTGCCAGATAGAACTCTCATCTTCCACC